TCCTTGAGGGTAGGGATCATAATTTATTCCTTAGACTGAAAAGCAAGGAGAGCTGAGACCACATCTGTCATGTTTATGCTATATTCCCAGAACCTAGAACTTAACAAGCATTCAATGAATGATTATGAATGAATGAAGTTACTTAATACAATGCAAACTTCTGTGATGATTCAGGGACACCAATACAGACATCAGTTTTCTTACCAACCTTTAAAACAGTGGCAATATTTTTTGGTGTAAACCTAAGCATCCTTAAACTAAACATTCCAGTACTACCATACTCTTTGCGTATTTAGATTTATTTTTCTAAAATTCTTTTTGAAACAGAAAACTTATAGAAAAGTTGCAAAACCAGCAAAAGGAACATCTCCCCCCTGAACAATTTGCGAATAAAATGCCGCCTTGATGCATTATCACTTCTGAACACTTCAATATTTCCTTTTTCAAGGCCATTCTCCTGTATACAACAATCAAAATCAGTAAATTGCCATTGAAACCTCAGACATTACTCAATGAATCCCAGATGTCCTTTATAGCAAAACAATATCCATTTCAGAAACACACCTTGCATTCAATTTTCATGTCTCTTTTTAGTCTCCATTATTCCAGAACATTAGTTTTAAAACTTTTATTACTAGGCTGACACTGCTCCAAGGCCCTTCAGAACTAGAAGATATATAGACATGCACATTTTTTGTGAAAATTAATAAAGGGAACCTCACTAAAACGGAGTTGAGAGGCCTGCGGGGGGCTTTCACACCCTACCACTTGTAGTCAATTGCAGACCCAACCAGAAAAGACTTGCAAGATGGATACTGCTTCAGCTACTACTGTATTAACCCTGTAGGAAGAGGAAAGATTTTTCTCCTCCCTGACAACAGCCCAGCCAATGAGAGACTGTCACACCTCAGCCAGTGAAAAGCCTCTCTACTTCAAACTTCCAGTTTACTCCAATGGACTTTTTGCTTAAAACAGCCCCTTCCAAATCACCCCTTTCTTCTATAAAAGAATGGTCCTCTGCTCTGCTTTGTTCTCTAGACTTGACTCTGGTTTTGTTGTGGCTTTCTTATTCTGAATTGCAATTCTCTGCTGTTCCTGAATAAATCTATTTTTGCTGATACAATAAAATGGATAATTTTATTTTTAAGGTTAACTGTGTACATACACACACATCTATATTTACATTTATATTTATTTCTATATCAATCTACACATTTGTTATTATCATAAATCCACTCTAACAGCTCCAGTTCCAACCAAGCACCATAAGGGATGCCTGAACTTGCTCCCTTTCCTGATCATAACAACTATTTATTGAATATATACTATGTATGTGCTGGGCTCAGGCCTCCAACTTAGGCACTGGCTTGTGCTCTTTGAAGTAGCATTGATGGAGAACATAGCAAGAACCCTTTCCTTCATCACTGACTCTATGCCCACGGGTATTTGTTGCTCCCAGCTTGAGAAGACAAATGGTATTCAGTAGATGTCACCTTGGTGAAGCCTCACAGACTTGCTCCGGGTGAGTCCCCTTCTCCACTGCCACCATCTGCACTGTGTTATTTGTTCTGAGTCCATCTTCTTTACAACAGCAAGCTACCCCAGTACCAGGGCTGTCTCCATTTCTGTAACCTCAGGGAGGGGCTAGTACATGAGCTTACATGATACTTGTTGACTGACTCCACCAGCAAAAGGGCTCTTGACTTGAGGCAGGAAGAGAGGAACCGAGGTTTACATTCATTCCCTTGATCCTATGGAACCCTCCTCACAACCTTGTGAGGTAGCCATCATCCATTCTACAGATGAAGAAACTGAAGCTCAAAAGAGGTGGACCAGTCGAAGGTTATGCAGCTGGGAAGAGACAAGACTGGACACTCTGTGCTAGAAGCTGAGAGAATGGTTCCTTCATATTCCTATTCTAGTGGGTACAGTTCTAGATGCAGCACGCCTAATATAAGAAGGCAAAATTTGGGTAAAGGGTGCTAGATGCATGGAACTAATAGTAAGTAGAAGGACAGTCTTACAAGTGTGGTCATGAGGCCTCCCCCAACCTCATAAGGGCTACAGTCTGTGCCTCTCCTAGGCACACAGGCAGCTATGGGAAGGAAAGAAAAGGGCCTCACAGCTTGGACTCTGTTCTGGACACAGATTATATACCGCTTTAGGAAGCCTCCCTCTGGCTCCTATATTCTCTAAACTTTATCAATAGAAATACATTTGTTTGGGCAGCCCTCCCCTACGCACAGGCAAAGGGGCCATGATCAGTCCCCAGTGACTAGGCACAAGTGAATCTTCATTTTTTCCTCTGTTGAGAAAAAGAGTCCAGGGAACCTGTAAGGGAAGAGGCTAAAGAAGGGGGACAGATAACAGACTGTGGGCATTTTGCCCCCACCTGGAAATGCCACAAAGCACCCCCTGGACTCAACAGACAGGTCTCCTAATCCTTTGCTTTGGCCTGGGGCCCCACCAGCCCTACCTTCATCGTAGTTTTCTTTCTAAGGGGTCACATCCCAGGGCTCACATAGTGGTCTCAAGTTCAAATTCTCTGGTTCTTCTGCCAGAACACAGCCTTCCTTATCCCATTGGGGATTATGGCACACTGCCCCCCAGCCCTGCATTTCTCACAGGGACGTGACCTGGCATCTGATCCCCTGGGGTTCCCCTGGCATGAGGTAGTTGTTCTTGGTGTGATTAACCCCATCCACCACTCTGTAGGCCTGTAAGGGATCCGGTCAGCAACTGCCAAAAGTGTCCTAATTCTGGAAGCAGCTGGGCCAGTGCTGGATAGCTCCTGCCATCCAAAAATTCCCCTTCCAGCAGGCATTCTGTCTCTGGAGCCTCACAGAACAGGCCTAAGCCCTCTTTGGAGGGTTTTTTTGAAGGCAGTGATCCCCACTCCACTGCTCTGACTCTTCCAGCCTGGAGTTCCCTGTTTCAGCCCATGAATCAACAGCCCTAGAGGAGGAGAGAGGAGGTTTGCTTAGAGATGCTGGTTCCTTCAGATGCAGTCCTTGAGGAATGCAAAATCAGAGCTGAATTTGGACTGAAACTGAAGCCAGGAATATTGTCCCGGGCTACCATCCTGGTGTCTACTGGTGCTGGCCTAGGTTGAAGCTGTGGTCAAAGGTCTTGCCACACTTTAGGCAGACATAGGGCTTCTCACCACTGCAGGCCACCTGGTGGCTAAGCAGTTGGGAGCTTTTGCTAAAGCGTTGTCACATTTGCTGCAAGTGTAAGGCTTCTAGTTTATTTGAGTGTGTCACAGCAGATTTGAAGTCTAAAAACCTTTTTGCAGTTGGGGCATGTATGGGGCTTCTTGCCTCTGTGTGACAGTTAATGTTTAAAAAGAAGAGCCTGGAGCTGTGGCAGAAGGTTTTGCCACAATCTGGATGGGCAAGGGCCATGCACCTGAGCACATGTGCTGGTGCTCAGTGAACTGGGTTTGCTCATTAAAGCCATAGCCACACTCAGGATACTTGAAGAGATGCTCCCCTTTATGGGTACACTGGTGCCATGGGCAATCCAAGCTGTTGGTGAAATTCTTGGCACACAGCAATTGTGGGGCTTCTCTCCAGTGTTGCTTGAGCAGACTTAGCCCTGTACAAGTGCTGGTGTTCTAACAGGTTGGAGCTAAGGCTAAAGCTCTTGCCACAATCCCTACAGCTGTAGGGCTTCTCTTCTCACTTGTGCACTGGTACTGGATCAGGTTGGAGCTAATTCTGAAGGTCTTACCACACTTGGTAGGGTGTTGGGCTTTCTCACCCATATGCACCCATTGGTGTTTAACCAGGCCTGAGCTGCAGCCAAATACCTTCCTACACTCCAGGCACTATGGGGCTGGAGGCTTGAGTGGGAGCGATGGTGCTGGATGAGGTGGTTGGTGATGAGGCCAAAACAATGGCCACACCAGGGCAGCGGTATGGTTTCTCACCAGTGTTTATTTACCCGATGGTGCTTAATCAGATCTGAGCCACGTTGGAAGATTTTGCCACACTCTGGACGGCACCAGGGCCTGTTACCCACGTGGCTGCTTTGATGGTGAAGGAGATCAGGGAAGTAAGCTGCAATCAGTCCACACTCCTGGGTTTTGGGAATTGCAGGGCAGTTAGTCCTGGCAGGGCTTCTTCCTCTCCAGGGCCGGAACCTGACCTATATAGGTATTGCAGGCCCAGCAGCATTTCCCAGGAAGCCGGCCGTCCCGGCCACACCAGGAAAGGCCGCTCAGGTGGAAGATTCCGAAATCGAGGGCGGACCTCGGCTTCCTGGGATCCTGACGCCCGGTTCTCACGCCGCTCCACCCCTTACGAGTTCTCGCCACTTCTGGAGCCGCCAACTCCACCAGCGTGAAGGGTGCTCCGTTTCCTAGAGAGCAGCTACTCAGTTCACAAGCACAGCCAGAACGAGAGACACTGGGGACCCAAGGGTCCAGCACCGTAAACGGAAATGTCCACCAGCCCCGTGCTGCTCTAAGAAGTGGTAGTGAAAAGTCTCGGTAGGTTTAAACTTCTTTCACCTAGTCTAGCAATTGCTCCCCATCTGCAACGGCTGTCGGAAACTTTGGCCTGGCTGCGGCTCTGCGTCCTTCAGCGCAAACATCGGTGCCTTGGCTATTGCCGGGGGACAGCGAAGAGAGCCTGAAGGAAAAGTCGGTGGCTGCGGAGGACACGGGGGTGGAGTAGCCAAGGCACCTGGAGCAACACATGGTCGAATGTCTGGATTCTCCGAGTACCCCTGAGAGCTTCCCCTCCATCCTTTGCTAGGCGTGTTGAAACTTGGCATGGACTACATATTCCAGCATGCACCGCACGCGCCTCTTGGGCTCTTACGACGATTAGATAACCACTACTCTCGAGTGCCTTCTGCGGCTGTGCAAGAGTCACATTCCCGGGATCAAGAACTACAAATTCCGACTTGCAGAATAATTGCGGGGACGCTATTTAAGAAGCGTCAGTGAGGAGTTGCCCAGTCACACCCCTCTCTTCCAGTTCCGCTCCCTCGGATGAAGGGCGAAGAGGGGGGCGGAGCCTAAGGCCTGAGCCAAGATGGCGGCTGGGAAGCCAACCCGCACGGACTCTCTCTCGTTCTGCCTCGTGCAGCTCACGGCGGCGGCCGGGGAGGGTCTAGGTGGGGGGAAGGTCACAGCTACCAACGAGACACCCTTGGGCCGTGCGCTTTTAGCCCTCCGCACGCGCCACGTCAAGGCATCAGGGGGAATCGAGCGCTTCCGGGCACGCGGCGGGCTCCGCCCCCTCCTTGCACTGCTACGGCGAGCGGCGGCAGCGGGCCCCGCCCCATCCCAGGCTGGCCCCGGCTCCGCCCCCTCGTCGGTCGAGTCAGCGGCTGCTGCTGGCTCCACCCTTTCGTCGGGCCCCGCCCCCACCAATTCGGCGGCGGCGCTCTCGCCGCCAGCGCGCCTGCGCAAGACCCTGGACTTGGCGCTCAGCATCCTTGCCAATTGTTGTACGGAAGGGGCGTGCCGGGCTGAAGTGCGCAGACTCGGAGGTATCCTCTCTTTGGGTAAGTGCTCCGCCCTCATTACTCCGAAGGATTCTATGCACACCTCTGTCTCAGTCTGTGTTGGGGTGGAGTTTCGAGTTTGTGCTGTAGCCTGAAGAATGCGTTTCTGGACGGCGCAGCGACCCCAAGCTTAAGCTGTCACGTTGCGTGACGTAACGGCTCTGTTTATAGATTATACCGGAGCCCGCCGACATGAGATAATTACAGCCATTACCTGGATATTGGAGGTGGGCACCTTCCTCGCATCTGGGCTGGTGAAGGCCAAAGGGTTATTTGGCGACTTTCAGATGATTCTTACTCTCCATTTACGAGGTTTATAGGATTCAGTGTCTACAAAGAGTCCGGCCCTGAGTTGGAGTTCAGAAAGTGTGTTAGAAAGTAGACTCTGCAGTCATCTAGACCCCTCCGAGGCTAGGATTCTTGTAAAATGTGCTAGTAATAGCTGCCTCGCAAAATTAAAATAGGGAAAAGGCGAAATCACAGAACGCAGATACTCTAAGGATGGACTGGGTAACTTATTTTAAAAACTAGCAAGTCACAAATCTAACAAAAGATAAACTTTTCTGTTTACCAGCTAAATTGGCTCCTCCTAGTGTCAACGTGTGGTGAACATAGTTTACACATCATTGCCTGCCAGCTATGAGATTATTCCAGTTTTGACGAATGTCAATTTTAATTTGAATGCATCTGCCCCATAATGTGTTATGGACAAGAGGCCTGGCACATTAATAAATCCTCATTTAAGTTACAGATTTTGTTATTAGTGTTTAACCCCCATTATTCAGTCACTATTCTGCTTTTTAAATATCTTCTGAATTCAACCACTTCTGCCCTTCCTTCTGTCATGTGCCCAGAGACTAGTACCCATGTACTGGGCTATGCCAATAACTTACTTGGTTTAAACCATTGCCCTTTCTTGCCTGGACTATTGGAACAGCCTCCTTGCTGCTGCCCATGCCTTTCTCTTTTCCCCTGTAATTCATTCTCTTCATGGCTGCAGGACTATCATGTCACTCCTGTTCTTGAAATCTTGTGTGGCTTTCTTGAAATCTTGTGTGGCTCCCAGTGCCCTCACATTTAAGTCCTGATCCCTTGGCCTGGAATTTGAGTCCCTTTATAAATATGTGTGCAGTCACTGGGTCTTACCTCTGGGCCTTTGCAAAAGCTGCTTCCAAACCTGAAATAACCACCCTGTAGCACTCCCATGTACCATCCTCCCAGCTGATTCCTACCTATTTAACCTTCCAGTCCCAGCAAGTGTTAGCCTCTTCTGGAGGCCTTCCCTGATCTTCTCAGGTAACATTCTTGAGGTGACTAATGAGAGAGACAAGATAGGGTAGAACCCTCAAGAGGCCAAACTCTCTTGCAGTGACTATTCTTCAGTCCATAAAGACAGACAGCATCCAAAATCGAACAGCCCGTGCTCTGGGGAACTTAGCCATGGAACCTGAAAGCTGTGGGGACATCCATTCTGCTGGTGAGCAGGTTATGAGGGTGGAGTTAGGTAGGGTATAGGGTGGGAGGGGAGCTTCAATGTCTGTCATCACTCACCCTCTGTCCTCCCCTTCCATCTATAGGTGCTGTTCCCCTGCTTGTTGAGAGCCTCACGGCCTGCCAGGACTCACAGTGCCTGCAGAGTGTGGTTCGTGCCCTACGCAACCTGGCTGACTCACCCCAGCACCGCCTGGCCTTGGCACAGCAGGGAGCAGTGCGTCCCCTGGCTGAGCTTCTGGCCTCTGCCCCAGACCCTGCACTGACCTTGGCCCTTGTTCGTGCCCTTCTGGAGCTGAGTAGAGGCTGCTCCCGGGCCTGTGCTGAGCAGCTAAGTCTGGGTGGGGGACTAGGCCCACTCGTCAGCCTGGCATCGCACCCCAAAAGGGTGGTACGGGAGGCAACTATCCTGATCCTTGCCAACCTGTGTGCCCAGGGCTTGGTACGGCCTGCACTGGGCAATGCTGGTGGCGTGGAGGTGCTGCTGAGTGAGCTCCGGTGGCGCCGGGGCCCCAGTGGGTCTGGTCCAGCCTCCCAGCAGCCTTTGGTTCGGGCTGTGTGCCTGCTGTGCCGAGAGGCCATCAACCGGGCTCGATTGCGGGATGCAGGTGGTTTGGAGTTGCTGATGGGCCTGCTGCAGGACCCTCGTTCCAGTGCCTGGCACCCTCATGTTGTGGCTGCCCTCGTAGGCTTCCTCTATGATACTGGGGCCCTGGGCCGGCTACAGGCTCTAGGACTTGTACCTCTCTTGGCTGGGCAGCTGTGTGGTGAGGCTGGTGATGAGGAAGAAGAAGGAAGAGAAGCTGCTTCCTGGGATTTCCCAGAGGAGCGGACTCCTGAACGGACAGAGACTGGAAGCTTCCGAAGCCTGAGGTGAGTCCTCACCTGATGCTTGTAGGGTGAGGGCTTGTGTTTGCTCTGGTGCTCCTCACTGCCTCACCCCCTACTCTAAGTAGGACTTTAATCGACTGACTTGTGACTCCTTGTTCTCCTCAGACATTGCCACTTTCCAGTCACCATTAAATACACCTCCTCTCCTCTGGGTCTGCCTTTGACCTTGTCTCTTAGGAATATAGGGCCCTTAGGAACTTTGGGGCCCAGCACTTAGGAACTTTGGGGCCCAGACAGGTTCACTGGGTCTTTTTTTGTTGTTGTTGTCTGTTTCCCTTTATTAGAATATAAGTGCTAGTAGGATGGAAACTTTTGTATTATTGGTTGCTCCTCCCCAGCACCTATAATGGGGGTTGGCATATAATAGCCATTGATAACTACTAAATGAAATAGGTTTTTTCCCCAACCTGGTTTTCTTCCTTATCTCCCCTCCAGCCCACCTCCTTTCCCTGCCTTCAGTCTCTTCCTATTGCATGACCACTCTTTTGGCCCTATTTCCTTCCTTGGCTCTGGGTTCAGTCTCCTGTTTCTCCCCTCTGCAGGTCGTGGCTGATCTCTGAGGGCTATGCCGCAGGCCCAGGAGACATCTCTCCTGACTGGTCCCCTGAGCGCTGTCCTTCACTGCAGTCGGAGCTGTCAGAACCAGCGGAGCCAGCCAGCCCTGCACCCTGCCCAACCTCACAGCGGACACCCCGCACACTGCGCACTCCAGGCCGTAGCCCTTCCACTGAGGAGCCTTGGGGCCGTGAGGGGCCAGCACTCCTGCTGCTGTCACGCTTCTCCCAGGCTCCTGACCCGAGTGGGGCATTGGTGACCAGCCCAGCTCTGTGTGGTCTACTGGCCTATGTGACAGGTGCACCAGGTCCACCATGTCCACGTGCGCTGCGCATCCTGGCACGCCTCACCTGCAACCCTGCCTGCCTTGAGGCCTTTGTACGCAGCTATGGTGCTGCATTGTTGCGTGCCTGGCTCGTGCTTGGTGTTGCCCCGGATGACTGGCCTGCATTGCGTGCCAGGCCTGCTCAATGCAGCCAGCACCGGGAACTGGGTATGTCCCCACACTTCACCAACATGAGAGGCCGCATCCCCCTTTGATGCCTTCCATGGGCCTAGAACCTTGCCCTACTGCTCACCTGCTCTCTCACTGTCCTCCCCAACCCACCACCCAAGTAACCTCAGCCACCAGGTGGGAAGAGGGGAGGGATTTCCTTCTGTCCCATTGTCCAAGCTTTGGGGCCCTGATACCCCAGACTTCGCTCCAACAACTTAGAATGGTGCCTGTCTGCATTTCTTTCCCCTGTCTACTCTTGGATTGCATTGTCCTGACTGCTTCCCCACTAGGTACTCTGACTTGTGAACCCAGGCTCAAGTAGCATGTCCTCCCAGACCCCACTACCCTTTCCTGCCCTGTCTTCTATGCTGTGATTGCAAACTGTCTCAGTTCTTGAGGGCCCAGACTCATTCCTTGACCGTCTAACTGCCCTTGACTTATTGCCCTTGACCTCCAGTTCCTAGTGTCTGGACCCCATCCCAGTAGGGCCTACAATCATCCCCCTATTGTGTGCTCTGAGGTTTTACCTTCCTTCCTTTCAAGGACCCAGATGCCCATCCCACCCCAGTCGCTTCCAGCCTGATCTGCTCTGCCCACCCCTGCAGGTGAGATGCTGCTGCAGAACCTGACCGTGCAGGCTGAATCACCTTTTGGAGTTGGTGCCCTCACTCACTTGCTGCTCTCTGGGAGCCCTGAGGACCGCGTGGCCTGCGCACTGACCCTGCCCTTCATCTGTCGGTGAGAGGGATGTGGGTGCCTTGCAGAGGTCAGGAGCAGGATTGCTGTTCCCCCGTGCCACTCTTTAATGCTCTCTGAAAGTTTCCCTTTCTCCCCAAAGGAAACCTTCTCTGTGGCGCCGCCTACTACTGGACCAGGGTGGCCTCCGTCTCCTCCTCTCAGCATTAACTCGACCAGCTCCACATCCACTCTTCCTTTTCTTTGCTGCAGACTCCCTTTCCTGCCTCCAAGGCCTTGTTTCTCCTGCTGCAAGCCTTGCCCTCCCACCTGCAATACCCTTGAAACTAGACCCACCCTCGCCTTGCCTCTATGAACATCTGCTGGGCCCAGCCCCCATCCCAGCCCCCGACCTGCATTTCTTACTGGACTCAGGCCTACAGCTTCCTGCCCAGCGAGCTGCCTCTGCTACTGCCTCCCCTTTCTTCCGGGCCCTGCTAGCTGGCAGCTTTGCCGAGGCCCAGATGGACTTGGTGCCACTTCGAGGCCTGTCACCTAGTGCAGCCTGGCCTATCCTGCATCACTTGCATGGCTGCCGAGGCTGTGGGGCTGCCTTGGGGCCTGTTCCCCCACCAGGCCAGCCCTTGCTGGGTTCAGAGGCTGAGGAGGCACTCGAGGCTGCTGGCCGTTTCCTGCTGCCTGGGCTGGAAGAGGAGCTTGAAGAGGCTGTGGGCTATATCCACCTGGGACCCCAGGGTGGCCCAGAGTCAGTGAGTGAAGTATTTCGCCTGGGCCGGCCTCGGCTGGCTGTGCACTGTGCCCGCTGGACACTGGGACCAGGGCAGTGCCCACGGAAGCGGGCCTTGGCCCTCATGGGGCTTGTGGAGGCTGCAGGCGAGGAAGCAGGACCCCTGACTGAGGCTTTATTGGCTGTGGTGACAGGTTGAATTGGGAAGCAAGGGTCCCAGCCTAGACTGTTGATGTACCCTGGGAGGGGACCCAAGGACAAGTTGACTATGAAGGAGGCCTCCCTCAGAGCATCACAAGAGGAGGTGAGCAGAAAGAGTCACCATCAAGGACCAACAAGAGAATGAAACTAGACCCCAGGACGGTGGTCTAAAGTTCCAGGAGTGAGAAGCCAAAACTGGAGTCTGAGCATGGGACTCATAAGATGGGGCGTGCTGCAGAGTATGGGATGAATGTCCAAGGTCTCAGCATTACTGTTTTCTTAGTGTCCACCTATCTTGGGCCTTCAGTCTCTGGGTTTGTTTCATCTCTTGGGGCAAACGTCCTCCTGTTGTTTGCATGAGAGAAGACCTGCTGTGTTCCTGAAGTCCTTGAGTCCTTGAGGCTCTTTCTTAGTCATGCCCAAAGAAAGCCAAAGCCTTGGGTTTGTATTCAGGTGATAGAACGGCTCATGTTGCTTTGTCTCCCATGTGGTGTCTCACCTGCTTCAGATCACTGACCACTCAGGTGGCAACTTGACTTTGCAAAGAGTGGCTGGACTGGGCCTGTCAGTTTCTGGAGAGCTAAGATTGATACTTGCTCTCTCTCTGCCTCTGTATGTGTTTGTCCAGGTCTGTGTTCTCAGGCTATGCCTTAGAACCACCGACAGAGCTTTCAAACAGTATTGATGCCTGGGCCCTTTTTGACTGAATTGGACTGAAGTGATGGTGCCCTGGATATCAGTATTTTTAAAAAGCTTCCCAGGTTCTGATTTGCTGCTGGGGTTGAGACCCACAATCCAGTGGCTGCTGCAGCTGCAGCACTATTGTGTCTGTCCATACCCTTTCCTAGAATGTCTCGTTTCCACCTTGATTTCTCAGAATCTCAGTCCAGGGAAGGCCTTATGTTCCTTTGTAGGTGGGGTCTGTCTGTCTTGCTTCTCTATTCATCAGTAACTTGGGGGTGAGCTCCTTTGGAATAGGTCTGGGTTACCTTAATGTTGAAGGGTTTTGCCTGGGAGTGTTTTCCCTGAGTCTGTGGGGAGGGGTTGGGCCTGGGTTTCAATTTACCTGTGTTCATATGTCTGTTTCCAAGTCTTGGAGGAAAGGTCCTGGCTTAGAAGTCTGTGGGTGGTTTCATTCTATCTGTCTCTGTCTCTGAGGGATTTTTTTGTGTCTGGTATGTGTGCCTTTTGGGATCTCGGTTCATGTCTTTGTCTCTCAGGATCTCTGAGGGAAGGTCTCCGAACTTGGAGTCTGACTGATCTTTAGAACATCACTCCTGCCCCTAACGCACGAATTCTGTCTGGAGCAAGTCTCTCAGGAATGGCCTGAGTGGGAGAGGGGTTCCGTCTAGTACTCAGGATGTAACCTTGGGGAAGTGTCCGCTTGGGGCCTCAGTCTGTGTCTACAGAGTATCACTGGTCAGAGTATCCTGGGCTTGGTCTGGGAAAGTCACTTCTCTGACTTTGGCTCTGGCATTCAGCGGCTCCCTGCAGCTGAGGCCAAGGCTAGGGTGTGGCCGCTTACACTGGCAGGCAGGGGGGATTGGTGACTGGGCCTGGAGGGCCGGCCTCCCTCACAGCCCCCACTCCAGGTTCGAGTTCTCTAGTTCATTGCCGTCCCCCTCCCCCAGCCCCATTCCAGCGGGTCCTAGCTTCCTTACATGGTCATGACCGGGCCTCCAGCTCCCGGACGTCCCCCACCCTCGCACCCCCCGCCCCAACCGGACACGGCCCCCGCCCTGCTCGCCCCGCGCGGTCAGCCTGCGCCCCGCCATGGAGGACCTGGGTGAGTTGGGCCCGTATCCCTGTCTCCAGCCCCTCACTGCCGCCTGGACACGCTTCCCCATCCTGGAGCCCCTTGCACCCCTGCATCTCAGCCTCCCTCCTGTCTTCTCGCTTCTGGTCTCTGCCAGCGCGCGCCTTCTTTCCGACTCCACGTCCCCCTTCCTGCCTCTCCCTTCTGCCATTCCCGTGTCGGCCGCTCCCTCCCTTCTTCCTTCCCTCGGCTCCGACAGCACTGGCTGCGGACTGAAGGGCAGGGAGGTGCACAGCACTCCTAACGGCACCTGGGCCCCGGGGCTCTGGGAAGAGAAGGGTTAAAGGAGCCTTGCGTTCGGGAGCTGGAGGAGTAGGGAAGGGAGACTGCCATCAAATTCTGGAGAAGAAAACGGGCCTGTCCCAGGGATTGGGGGAAAAAAGTGTTAAGGCTCCAAGACATGGTAGGGATCAGGTTTTTGAGGGTAGAAAAAGAGTAACAGAGGAGTGCCAAAATGCCAGGGGGAGGTTGAGGGTTCCACTGTGATGCTCAGACATGATGAGTAAAGGGACAGGAACCTCTAGGTACTGGAAGGGAGAGGAGGGTTCAAAGGATTTAGATCTGGGGATGGGAGTGGGGGTACCTTGGGGCAGGAGGGAGGGAGGACTTGGGCATCTTTCCTCCCTGTCTGTTGAAATTGGGGTTTGAAGGCTGTGTCCTCCATGCAAGAGAAGGGGTTCCAGCAACCTGCAGTAGGGGGTACTCCTCAGTAGGGGTATCAGGACCTGGTACTGTGGAGAATAAATCAATCAGAAAGCAGGTCCAAGAAGACTCGCCAAATAAGAGCATAGGGTGGGAGGACCCAATGGGGCCTGGAAGTGGACCAGTCCTGTTTAGGTTAGGGGCAGGAATTAGTGGGTTTGGCGGAAAGAGCATCCAATCAGAAAGATGGGTGCCAGACATACAACAAATTAAGCAATTTGGGGTGAAGCCAAATTTGGCTCCAGTAAAGAGCTAACTTCTATCAGGGAGGATGCAGAGAATAAAAGAATCAGGTGGCCAGTTTCATGCGTGACTCCCAGGATGAGCCATTTGGGTTGTTCTGGTCATAAACATTCCTTGCTGCCCTTCCACTTCTTTCCCTTGTTCTGGCTTTGTGTTTTGTTCTGATTCTTGACTGCTGCTCTTAACATTGGCTTCTTTTCTCAACTACTGCCCAGTTGGAACCCTTATCCTCTGAACTCTTAAGACCCTGTCTTTGTCCTAATCTTGACCTCTTAACCTCTTACCCAATGGCTTCTCTCTATAGATGCCCTGCTATCTGACTTGGAGACCACCACCTCACACATGCCAAGGTCAGGGGCCCCAAAAGAGAGATCCCCAGAGCCCCTCACATCTCCCCTGCCCTATGGCCACCAGCCACAGGTGAGATCAGATTGGGGACTGGTGCAACCATTGGGGCCAGGCTTGGTTAGGGCTAGGGGAATCTGGGCCTGAATGGGGCAAACTACAGGCTTATCATCCCACACATGTGTCCTTCTCTCTATAGATGGGGTCTGGGGAATCTTCAGAATCCTCTGGAGAAAAAGACCATCTGTACAGGTGAGGGGCCTGGGAACTAGGGGATGGGGAAGTGAACTGAATTTGGGTGAGGAGGTTTGGATTCCCCAGTGCTGAACCCTGGCTCCCACTCTGTTTCCCAGCACGGTATGTAAGCCCCGGTCCCCGAAGTCTGCAACCCCTGTGGCCCCTCCATTCTCCTCTTCCAGTGGTGTCCTGGGCACAGGGCTCTGTGAGCTAGACCGGTTGCTTCAGGAACTTAATGCTACTCAGTTCAACATCACAGGTACCAGGGCCATTGAGACAGGCCTTGACAGATTTGGGACAGGACAGGGCAGGGTAGAGTCTAAGGGGTATAGACTTCCCAGAGTAGCAGCTAAAGGGACATAATTCTTAACTGGGAGGATGGGTAGAACATGGCTCCATGTCCAGTGCCCTTCTTTCCTCTGCAGATGAAATAATGTCTCAGTTCCCATCTAGCAAGGAGACTGCAGAAGAGCAGAAGGAGGACCAATCTGAGGACAAGAAAAGGCCCAGCCTGTGAGTTTGACATAGTTGGAACAACTGGGATAGAGGTGATGGGTCCTGGGTGTCTTAGTTACTGGAGGGAGCATTACTTTGGGGAGTTCTGAGACATGAGTTGTGTTCTTCACAGCCCTCCCAGCCCATCCCCTACTCTCCCAAAGCCTTCAGCCACCTCGGCCACCCTAGAGCTGGATAGACTGATGGCATCACTCTCTGACTTCCGCGTCCAGAACCATGTGAGTCAAGCAAGGGATAGGCCTGTGTATTTCTGGCTCCCTAACCCATTTCAGACCCTTCTACATCTACTACACTGCTGACTCAGTTCTCATGCCCTCCCTACTGCAGCTTCCAGCCTCTGGGCCAACCCAGCCACCAGCCCCAAGCTCCGTGACTGAGGGCTCCCTTTCCCCACCAGGGCTGACTAGCAAAGGCAGCCTAGACACCATGCTGGGGCTGCTGCAGTCTGACCTCAGCCGCCGTGGCGTTCCCACCCAGGCCAAGGGCCTCTGTGGCTCCTGCAATAAACCCATTGCTGGGCAAGTAAGTGGAACCCTGAGAGTAGAGAGGTAGAGACCCACAGACCCATCTTTATTGAGAGCCAGACTTTGTGCTGTTCCCATTTAGTAAATCAATCTAGGAAGCGTGTATTACTGTTATTCATATTTGATGGATGAGAAAACTGAAGCTCCGAGTCACACCGCAAGTAAGTTGCAGGGTAAGCATTCCAACCCAGTTACCATTTATTGCGGTCCTATTATGTGCAGGCACTGTGCCAGCAACTTTACAAACCCTCGCCTCACTTGATTTTTTATAAAAGCCTCGTTGGCTCCACCCACCATCTCTTAGGCACCTACAAAGGCTGTTTGTCCTCTACCGGAGTCTGATCGGGGAGCTCTGGTTCTGGGCCTAATGACTGAGCAGATATTACTGACAACAACTGTGGCCAGTGGTTGACCTATTTCCTCCTGCTAGATAAAGTGCCTGCTGACATTGCAGAATTAGCAATCTCAGCAAAGCAGGCATGACTTGTGTGGGTCTTAGGCACTTTCACCTTAGTGGGTCCCTTCCCCCATTAAAACATTAAAAGGTGTGTTTTATGACTGTTATTGGTATAAAGATAGATACATTAATATTATATACCATTTTCTTCTAGCTCACTTTTTTCTTCTGATTTAAAAAGAAATTACAGTTTTTTTGCAGGCTCCCCAGAATATTGTGGGCCCTAGGCACTATGCTGGGAGATGTAGGTTGAATCTCCATCACTTACAGACTGACTTGAATATTAGATTCTTCATTCTGATTTCTCAGAGATAAGACTTGGGTGGTGGGTGGAAGAAATGGGTGGAGAGAGTCAAAGGTAAAAAGAAAAAAAGTAAAAAGAAAAATTACATGAAATGGACCACGTAAACCTTAGCTCACTGGGCACATGGCAGCCCTGCAGTCACTCTGACGTGGGCTCTATCCCCTCAACTCACAGGTGGTGACGGCTCTGGGTCGCGCTTGGCACCCTGAGCACTTCGTTTGTGGTGGCTGTACCACTGCCCTGGGAGGCAGCAGTTTCTTCGAGAAGGATGGGGCCCCTTTCTGTCCCGAGTGCTACTTTGAGCGCTTCTCCCCACGATGTGGCCTCTGCAATCAACCCATCCGACACGTGAGCCTCACCTGTTTCACCCAGGCGCCTGTGGGTTGGGGATGGGTCCCTCTCCGCGCACTTCCAGTCTCCCCACCCCTACCCTAGCCCTGCCCCTTTGGACTCAGTCTCTCTCTTTGACTCTCAAGCTCCTTGTTAGGTCTCCAGCGCTTCAAACTCATGTAACTTCAACCCATTCACCTAGGTTCAGGTTGGGAGAAGAGGGTAAGAAGGAATGGAGGGCTAAGTGCAACCTTTCATTCCCTGCAGAAGATGGTTACTGCCTTGGGCACCCACTGGCACCCGGAACATTTCTGCTGCGTCAGTTGCGGGGAGCCCATTGGAGATGAGGGTGAGAGAGCTTGGCTCCTTTCTCTTGACTGCTCAACATTACGCCCAGTTCTCTACCATCTCCAAAGTCCTCAGGCCATGAATTTTCTCCTGCTCTTTTCTCACCTGTGGGTTCCCATCCGATCCCCTCCGGCTCTGCCCCGACCTCAGACCCCGTCCCTCTGACCGCCCCTCTTCTGGCCCCCAGTCTTCGATCTTGTAGGTCCCCATTGCGGATCCGCACCCTTATCTTTCCGCCCACTGGGTTCCGCCCCTAGGTTTCCACGAGCGCGAGGGCCGCCCCTACTGCCGCCGGGACTTCTTGCAGCTGTTCGCCCCACGCTGCAAGGGCTGCCAAGGCCCCATTCTGGATAACTACATCTCAGCGTTGAGCGCGCTCTGGCACCCAGACTGCTTCGTCTGCAGGGTGCGCTGTTGTTGGGGCGGGGCCTGGGGAATGGATGAGCCAACGCCGGGCGGGACCAGGAGCTTGGGGCCGAGTGATTGTCAAGGGAAGGGAGCTCTCAGAGGCGGGGCTTCCGGTCTGGGGAGTGGCTTGGGGGGTCACAGCGGATTATTCAGTTCACAGACCCAGTTGTCTCTTTGGGGTGTGGTGGCTAATTTATCTTTCCGTGGCCGCCCTTCCCTAGGAATGCTTCGCTCCCTTCTCAGGAGGCAGCTTTTTTGAGCACGACGGCCGCCCGCTGTGCGAGAACCATTTCCATGCAAGGCGCGGTTCGCTGTGCGCCACGTGTGGCCTCCCGGTGACCGGCCGTTGTGTGTCAGCCCTGGGCCGCCGCTTCCACCCGGACCACTTCACCTGCACTTTCTGCCTGCGCCCTCTCACCAAGGGCTCCTTCCAGGAGCGTGCTGGCAAGCCCTACTGCCAGCCCTGCTTCTTCAAGCTCTTCGGCTGATGGCCTGCCTGGCCAGTCCAGGGAGACTACATCCCCAAGACCTCGCCCTTCCCGAAGAGACCTTGCTCACCCAAGGCCTTGCTCCTAGCACTTGGGACTCTCCCTAGTCCCTCCCAGTGAGACCCCACCCACTGGAGAGACCCGCCCTTAAGGTACTGTACTATAAGTTCTTCGCTGTCAAGTTCAGAAAAGTCCCGGCCAATTTCAAGGCCACGTGCCACAGAGTGGGTTATGCACTGACGAACAATCCCGCGTGAGCTCTCCACTTAATTCCCACCCTTTATGGAGCCCACTGACTGACAAGGGCCCTTGTAAATCAGACTAATCAGAGGCCGGGCCAGGACATCTCTGCTCCCTGCTCCTTCACTGTTTTGTGCACTTTTTTTTTAACCTATATAAACACAAGTTCCGCCTCACACTGGTACTGTGTCTCAGCCCAGGAAAGCCTTGCGTCATCATGTCCTGCCCCTTGTGCTTTTGGCCGGAGCAGAACCTGCAGCCTCAGCCCTTGCAGGCTGTCCTCCTGTCAGAGGAACCTGAGACTGGAAAGGGTGGTGACTTGCATAGGATTGTACAGATAGTGGCAACCAGGATAGGAGCCCAAACTGGGCCCCATAGAACCTTCCTGCCCCTGTATCCTTGAAACAAGCACTTAATCTATTTGCTCCCCACCATTCACTCCCACCCAAGGCCACCTTGCTGATTTCCAGATTTTTTTCCACCTCCTTAAAGACCCTCAGGGACAGAGCTTCTTCCAGAAGTGCCAATTTATGCCCACCCTTTGGATCTGGGCACTAAGGCACAGCTTTCCTCCTACCTAGTATTGGACTCCTAACATCTCCCCTTGGCAGAGGATGACACTTGGGGTGGTGAGGTCAATGACTGAGGGAAGCACTGTGGGCTGTAAAGCCAGAAGGCGGTTTCTAACTCAGACTGGGTGCCAAGGAAGTCCTGGAGGAGGTGACGCTAGACCCCAGCAATGCAGGGTGCCGCCAGAGGTTTAGGTGTGCAGAAGTTCAGGCTCCATCTGAATCCTCAATCCCCAGGGCCCTTTCTGAGCCCCAGAACCTGCACCTTGGACCCTGCAGTTCCCTAGGGAGAGTCTTGGCTTCTCATATAGTCCAGACTATAGGAGCATTTGAGGCTGGAAATGATGGATTCTTAGAACCCATTCCAGCCTGAGGAGGAGCTAGCAGCCAAGGAGAGAGCATGTATGGGCAAGAGACAAAGGTGAGTTGATCTCTGCCCTTGCCTCTGGCAGACCCTTGACCCTTTCCTCTCTGAGGCACCTCTCCCTGGGTCTTGCCAAGTCTCCTACTCTTCTCTGTCCACTTACTCTCTCTCTCTCTGGGGATTGGTGTTTATCCCCTGACTTGTAACAAACTCCCAGTCTTGAGGATGTCCAAATTGGCTATTTCTAGTCTCTGTTCATTCACCAAGTGATTGTTGAGCATACACTGTGCTGGGGAGACCACAGGGAACCAGGCTGATATGCTCCTTGCCCTAATAGCGCTGGTCTAGTAGGGGAGACAGATGACAAGTAGTGTGATGAAGTAATGGGGACTTCCATGACAGTCTGGGTAAAGTCGGCTCTTCCCCCTTGTTCCTGCCCACAGCACTTACCTACTAGTCCTTCATAGCACTTGCCACTGCTGCAAATAGGTGTTCTATTTGTTGCTCATTTATATCTTTCTGAAATTGGAGTGCAAGCTCTCGAGAGCCTGTTTGTCAGATGACATGTCTGTTTGCTCACCACTGTCTCTCTAGTGTCTAGAATGGTGTATGCCACATGGTAGGTGCTCAGTAAATGTTTGTTTATGAAGGAAGCAATGAGGAAAAAAGGAAAGGAGGGAATGTGAGATGGAAAATAAAATAGAGAAGTATGTTGGAGAAGGTGGGAAAGGGATTCCTCTAAATAATAGTCAGAGAAGGCCTGTATGTGTATGTAAGGTCTAAGTTGAGACTTTGAAGGTTGAGTAAGAACCATCCAGGCAAAGAACCTGAGGAGAGCATTCCAGACAGAGGAAACTGCAAGTGCAAAGGCCAGGTAGGAAAGAGATTGGCATATTGGGAGAAAGGAAAGAAGGCCAGCATGGCTATATTAGAGTCGGCAAGGGAAAGAGTAGTAGATGAGGTAAAAGAGGAAACAGGTGCTACATCAAGAAGGGCCTTGTGACCCCAATGCGTCCTCTGATAGTTGCCCCTGGATTTCTCTCAGGCACTTCAAATTCATCAGTCCCTGAAGCAGACACTGAGTACCCCTGCCTGTACCAACTTGGTCCACCTGGAAAATCATACATAGACAGTTTCCAGACACCCAGTCTCCCTAGCTGCTCTCTGAGATTCTATCTGTGGGTGCTCTCTGGAGGAAGGAGTGTGCTCCTGAACCTGGCAGGCCTGTAGTGGGTGACAGATATTCTGTAACCTTCAACAATTAGAGACAGGAACTGGTGAATAAATACCCCTGCTTCCTGGTCAATTTTGAGGTATATCCACCACAGTGTCTTAGAGGGTCTCCATTGGGGTTGTTCACAGTGGTAACCTTTCAACTGGCACACTCTTTAGTGGTCTTTCTCCTTCCTTTGTCTCACTTCCCCACTCCTTCAAGTCCTTCTGAGGTTATCTCCCCAATAACAGCTTCCTCTATCCTGACTGCCACTATCCGTGCACCCAATTCTCATCTGAGGGTATGTTTTTGAAGGGACCACAACACTAAGGCATTCCTTAAACATAACTCATCATATTCCCCAAATATTATTCTCTATGTCCCATCTCAGTCATGAACCCAGTTGCCATAATCAGATATCCTAGTCTGGTCAGTTCTTCTAGAAAGGCAGAGGTATTTACCAACCCCACCTCACTGTGCCCCTTCTTGTATGCAGCCCCTGTCCTGAGAAGTGGGCTCCAGGGATGAATCAGGTCATTTCCTGCTCTTGGGGAGTCTCTAATCTGTTGCGGAGACAGACCTGGACCCAGACAAAAACCACACAACCTCAAACCTGTATCAGAAAAGTCAGAGAAGTGCTTCCTGAAGAGATGACATGGGCTGGGGACTGAAGGCTGAGTGGGGTTGGCCATTTAGGAGACCCTCTCTGTCTGCCTCTCTTTCTCTCAAGGCAGAAGGCACAATTTATACAAAAGTTTCAGGGTATAAAAACACATGGACTGGGCAGGGAAAGGGAGTGGGAAGTAAATGTGATTTCATTGTAGGTTTGGCACTGAGGAGCAAGGGGCAAGGTGGGCAAGAGCCAAAGGCTTTGAACATCAGGCTGAGGAGCTTCTACCTCCTCCCAAATATAGGGAGCAGTGGGGAGTTTCTGAGCAGGGGAGTGACACTGTCAGGTTTGGATATGAAAACAATCCCTCTGGATTACTCAGAACCAGTGGGCAGGCTCAGCAAGTCTCCCTAGGTCAAGACTAAAGGGTAGGCATTGTAGGCATTTTTAGGGGATGAAAGAAGTGATTTTGAGCCTAGGAGATGGGGGAAGGGATGGAAGCTATGGCCCAGGAAGGAGTACTCCTGAACTTGAAAGGGTCCAGCTCCCCAGAACCAGCCTTCGGCCTTGATGTGACCTGATTCAGCTAAACAAAGCCGGGGAGGGGGAACAAGTCCTGGGGGACTTGTCGGCTCACTGCCTCTGAGGTAACCATTAATCCTTCCCCTGGGGGAATCCAGTGGCTCATTCCTTGAGGGGCAGATCCTGGGCAGAATGGAGGAACACACAGAGCCAGGCTTGGTACCAGGGCTGGGGGACCAGAGGGTCCTAATCGACAACCCTGCTGACATTCTGGTTATTGCTGCTTATTTCCTGCTGGTCATTGGTGTCGGCTTGTGGGTGAGAAGTTGGGGTCAGGGGAGGTGCTGCTGGGAGCCAGGCTTCTGGGGCCTTCAGGAAAATGTCTCCAGGAGACTTCATGTGCAGAAGGAGCAGGATGCCTGGATATTTGATAGAAACTTGGGGCTGGGGACAATAATGTCCCTTGGTAGCTTCAGGGTGGCCCAGCCAACACTCATTCCTTGTCCTCCCATCTTTGGATTGGGCTAGTTGAGGGGGTCAGTTGATTTTCATCAGGGACAGCCTTCTAAATGAGGCCTCTGTTCTTCTGTCTACATAATGGCTGACCCATAACTAAAGCTCCCAGGAGAAATATCCAGGCACCCAGAGAGGCCCAGTCCCTGATCTTGTATCCAGTTACCTAAGCCTAAATGTGGCTAGAGGTTGGGGGATGGGGTGTGAACCATTGGGGAGCTGAATGCTGGTTAATCTTCAGCCTGAAACAAGCCTGAGGAATTTGTTGAGGAGGCTAATGAAGTCCAAAGACATGCCCTGAACCCAGGTCTCCCCCAATTCCTGCCCTCCAGTCCATGTGCAAAACCAACAGAGGCACCGTTGGCGGCTATTTCCTGGCAGGACGAAACATGGTGTGGTGGCCGGTAAGAGAGGCTGGGCTGTGGAGTGGGAGGAGGCCTAAGGAAGCAGCCTGGCTCACTCTCACCTCTGGCCACCCAGGTTGGAGCCTCTCTCTTTGCCAGCAACATCGGCAGTGGCCACTTTGTGGGTCTGGCAGGGACTGGTGCTGCAAGCGGCTTGGCTGTGGCTGGATTTGAGTGGAATGTGAGGTCCTCTTTTTGCCAATAACCTCTGTCCACAGTGGGAACTTGGGTGGTCATACTTGGGGAGGCTCCAGGTGGATGTGTGTGTGTGTGTGTGAAACTGGAGGTGAGAATTCCCAATTATGTGTGTGGGGTGTGGTTGGGCTTCAAGTGAGGGTCGCACATCCAGATGGAAGGCAAGGGGATGTAGGAGGTGACCACTTTTAGGGCAGGGGTGGTTCCTGCTCCCAACATGTGGTTTGAGCCTGGACCAGTCATTACCCTCTGTGGCCTTGATTTATTCTTCTCTGAAGTGGGGTGAACAGCCTCAGAGATAGGTGCTTGTTCTGATGCTCTCTGAAGCTGTGTCCTGTGAGAATCTCTGGACCAAATTAAAAGTTTTGCAGAAGTGGGAAGAAGACAAAGCTCTGGGACTGAGGCTCACCTCTGAGGGTTGGGGAGATAAGGGCTTTGAGCTCAGGGCTTCCTGAAGGAGCAGGCCTCTGAGCTGAGCCTTGAGGGACAGTTTTGGGTGGGTGGAGAGGAGAGGAGAGGGGAGGCAGCCCTTCCTGGCAGAGGCTGGAGTCAGGCTGAGGGGGTCTTTGCTTGAATTCATGGGATGGTAGGGAGGATGGGGAGTGGGACCATCTTGGGACGGACTGGTCCATGGATCATGGCCAGGGAGAGAAAGGAGGGTGCTAGTTAAGGGCCCAGGAAGGTGTCAAGACCTTGTCCCTTGATGTCTAGGGCCCAGGACATCATCTGAAGTTTTGTCCTGTAGGCCCCAGGCATGACCTTCCCTCGGAGTAGTGCGTGCATGAA